AGGGAGGGAGACCAAGCCTTGAAATGCTCTTCCATTAAATCTGGATTTAGATGACTTTAAATTACAAGAACACTTATGTCAGCACATTCTGTAGAGATGAATTAGAAATTGTTTCTGTTTAACTTGCAGGATTATTTCTCCCCTCTCTTTCTTTACGTCACACTTGGGAGCACATTGCTCAGTTGACCTATGAAAAACATTTGAATTTCCCAATACTTTTGCACCTTATCTGATAAGGGCCTAGTCTTCTGCAGCGCAGAGACAGCGGTGCAAAGTCTGTTCGTCACGAAACCGCTGTAAGGCTTCAGTGAGTGTGCAGAAGGACAGAGGCCTTGTGTCGTCTGTCTACAGCAGAGTAAATTGTCCCAGTTGTCTGACACTTCCCACCCGACTTGTGTCCCTATCCTGTCAAAACACTGTTCCCTCCTGTTAGAAATACTCTGTGTTTGTTGTATGGGTGATACTTAATTTTAATGGAATCACTAAAATGCATGAATAACAGAAGGAAATCTCTTACGATCTTTAACTGTTGTGTATTCTCATCTTTTCTTCTCCCCACACCATCTCACCTGTGTTCACCTTCCTTTGTTTGTGTTATGTCTATTTTAGATTGTAAGCTCCTCAAGGCAGGGAACTGATGCTTCTCAACTGTCTGTAAAGCACCTTTTACAAACTGTGGTGCTCTTTGAAATATCAAATAATAATAAATATTAGAATCGATTCCCAATGAGTTAAAAGTTTTATTTGTTTTTAATGTTTTAGCAACAGCAAAGGTGGCAGGCCCATATGACACCATGTAAGGAAGGTGCTCAGAGGACTGGGGGTGACAATGTAAGAACCTGTGTGTTGACGGGCGAGCAGGGTTGCTGTTTGGCTGTCCTTCAGTGTTTGACTGCTCTTGCGGACTGCTGTTGCCGATGTAACCTGTACAACCATCCTTCATGGCTTTCTCTCTCTGTTGTCTTTGATAGCAGTGTTCCCCTTATCAATTCCCTCATCATCACTCCCGTCTGATCTCCTCTCCGAGCAACTTTGAGCACATCTACCACATGACTGTTAATTCAGCCGAAAAATTCCTCTCTTATGATTCCATAAACCCTGCATTTTCCCCGCCTCCACGCTCTGTCCTCGGTACTCCAGACTTTATGACTCTGAGGGTATGAACGGCTGAGTCAGGTGTTCACTCTACTAACACTGTGTGGTTTTCCTTTTGCCTGGCTATTAACATGGGAGAAAAACCCTCGTAAGTGGTTTCCTTCACTCCTTAACTTTCTTCTGTCCCAGCTGATTTATTTTCTGCTATCAGCTGTGGTCTTTCCACAGGTCTGACATGCCAAGAAACAGATACTTCATAGCTTTAAAAAAAAAAAAAAAAAAGAAAAAAGTGTATAATAAGTGGGCTGAACCTTTTGCTATGAGAATAGCATTTTTAACCACCAGGAAGAATGTGGAAATTTTGAATGACATGTTCTCTGTTCCACAGTCTTCATCCTCCAGCAGTCAGTGGCAGGATACTGTGTGTCAGGTTGCATTATGAAGAGGTTCTGGATCTGTCTGTGTTGGACCAGACTTTCAAACTGTTTATGATTAAATCACGTGGAGTGTAAGAATTTTTACACAGTACTGTACGCAAATTGAGAGAGAGAGAGATACAGGTTGTGCCTCAGACAGTTTCTAGGTTAAAGTAAGTGAAGTTAGAACATGTACAAGCAAGATCAAAAATTAAAGATAATGGCAACTTGCTGATGTAGAGCCTCTGAATCCTGGTAGTTGTAAGCAGAGGCTGAGGTAAAGATACTGTTCTGTAGATATCCTTCCAGTTGGAATGTAAATCGGGGGGATGGAAGTAGTCTCTCTTCTTGTGTTGTGCATCCTGGCCTGACTCCGTGGGGTTTGCTAGGTGCTATAGAAATACAAGCCATACTATAACAGGCACACAAGTATGTGCTGTGCATTGTAATTGTGCACCGTGCTGTGGCCTGCAGTTCTGCTTGGGACAGATTCGCAGGTAAATCAGGAATAGTCTGTGAGGTAGATGTATGCGATGATGGTTGGTTGCTCAGGGTTTGTATGGGTCTGAGCCATGTCTGTTCCTGTAATGGAAACGCTGCTGTTGGTTTCTGTGGCCTTTGGACACCCTTCAGACACGTATGGCAAACCTTCACTGATAGACTGCTTCGAGTGCCTTTTGGTTGCTGTTCTAGATCTCTGTCCCCGGGAAGGTTTTTGGATACATGCCTGCATACAACACTAGAGAGAATTTAGAAATGCAGGAGAAAAACTAACCTCTTCCATATGGCTCCAAAACAAATTTGCACAGCTAAGCTTTGGTCATGTGTCACTGTTGTGAAATCCCAATTGTCACAACCATTAATATTCAAAAATGAAGTTGCAGCGTTTTGGAAAGCATGCCTTGTGATGACAGGTCTGCATCCATCCTGGCTTTTCTGGTAGGAGGAGAGATGGAAATACACCAGAGGAATGCTCTATTGGAATGGAAAAAAAAAATTAAAAAATTGTTAAGCCAAATTGAAATTTATTTTTCTCTTAGAGGGTCATTATAGGGTCACTGAAGCTGTATTTCAGTTCTAGGTTTAACAGGGTTTTTTTAATCCAACTGTACTATAAAATTTTCTATGTTTAATACGCAGTGATGTATCACTGGACTGTGACCCACCCTCTACCTTCCCTTCCTCATGTGAGTAGTCTCCCTAGGATCAGGAAGGAATGGCACCTGGTGTTTCAGACAATAATTCTTAATTTTTGCTTCAGGAGCATCCTTCATCCTAATGTTGCAGCCTAATAGCATAAACTGGAGGAAAAAAGTGAAGTGGGTAACTTGGAATGTTGAGATCTTGTACTTGTTAGCTCCTTAGAGCACTAGAGGTTTAGTCTTGTATGAAGAAAAGCATTTGTCTCCTTTGTGGCTTGGGGGTAGAGATGCTGTAAGCTGTATGGAAAGCAAGGCTGTGAGTTTTGGTTTCATGTCTGTCCATCCTCCCTTTGTGTTTGGAGATTTAGTATAAGAAGGGTAGCACTCCCTCCAAGGGGACCGTGGTCCCAGGTATGGATAGGATATTGGAACCAGAACAACATCGAATCCATACGGGAGTTGAAAAATGACCTGTTAAAGTAGGTTTGTAGAGTCTGTCATATTACTTCATGGAAGAATTAAAAGCTTAGGTTTGTCATGTAATGAACAGAACACTAAAACAAAAACCCCTAAACAACAGCACGCAGCACGATGGACAGAGAAACCACAGGCAAACCATTTCCTCTGCGTGTTGTAACTGTTTAGTTAGACCCTCCCAGTGCCTGAGAAGGCAGCGTGGGAGCAGTTAGTGTGGGTATAAGACCTGAGGCTCAGTGACACTGCAGAGCCGCGAGCGTAGCAGCAATTGCACGTACATAACCTGCAGCTCCACGGCAGCTCCGTTCTCTGGCTGGGAATGGGATGCACTGAACTGATTTGGGTGTCTCACCCTGTTTCACAGTGATTAACTTGGCTCAGCAAGCAGCTTCTCTGCTGCTTTTTTTTTTTTTCCCTCTCACCTTTCTAATTTTGTTTTGGC